CTTCATTTTCAATTTTTTAACAATATTATTTGATGAAGAGGAAGTTGTACTATGATATAAAGCAATAATGCAAGGGTTTCGTAGTCCCTAACTTTTCAGGGTCAGTTTTCATTTTGAGTATATGAAAAAAATTGTACATACTCGTGAATATATTATCTATGTTCCTGTCGTCTTACTTTTTCGAAATTCGATTCGGTTCCGCCGGAAAAAAAATTGGAAAATCATCCAAAAACACGTTATTTAGCGATTTTTTTAGAAAAAACTGAATCAAATTTCGAAAAAGTGAGACGACAGGAACATAGATTAGATCTTCACAAATATGTACTAATTTTTTCAACCACTCAAAATGAAAAATTAACCTAAAAAGTTAGGGACTACGAAACCCTTGCATGGCAACAATTTGTATCCAGAGAGTGGCGCCGCTCTCAGAATTGATAGGAATTAACATTTATGAATGGAGATGGTATATATACATTTCTCATTTGCAATGTTTACGAGGGTCTGGCATGTGTAGAAAATACAAATTTCATAATTTCAGTGGGATATCAAATTATCATTATTTCATATCATTTCAGACTGCTTTAAAATACCTATAGAAATTCAAGAATATACGGCAATGTTATTACGGTGAGGCTCTCACAATTAACGATCATATTTCTTGGGTTCTCGAAACATGGAAAACCTAATTACTACCTATTTTGAAAAATATAACGTTATCAACGTTTATTTACGCGTATAATTTGAATTAGGATTACCTCGGAATAATGACGGTCGAATCAGAAACAATTATTGTGGAAACGATAGAAAATCTACTGCCATCCAGTTCTAGGCATATCAAAAAAATTGTTATCGCAATAAAAAAGGATGCGCTTTTTTATCGGTATCAAATTTTTTTTCACGACGACTCATTAGCGCTGCGGTTTGACACGCATCTTCTGACCCTCGCCGCATGATTTACGACCTTTTATAAAAAATAGGTACCGCTGTTTGCTGCCAATGGAAAAGAATTTATGATTTGTGCACAGTGGGAGTATTGCGATTTTGAAATATTTTCAACAATGACGCAGGGGCCGTATAATTTGCTGACCTATATTAGAGTATGCTGACCGAGCATTTCTGATTCGATTTTTTTTTTCAAATTGCATATCTGAATAGAATATAGATATATAAATGCCACCAGTGAAATTATTATTATTCTCAATTTATTTTTTAATTTTTGATTATCGCTAGCTGGATTTTTCGATTTACTCTCAACGAGCCTTTTCATTTGATACTCATAGTGTAGAAGTAAATTGAAAATAGCTATTCCGCCATCTTGGATGGTTCGCCATATTGAATTTAGAATAACGTCACATTCTTTCTCGAATTACTATCAACGAGCCCTTTTATTTGATACCCATTTTGTAGAAGTAGATTAAAAATGACCATTCCGCCATCTTGGATGGTCCGCCATATTCGATTTAGAATGACGTCACATCATTTTTCGAGTTACTCTCAACGAGCTTTTTCATTTGATACCCATATTGTGAAAGTATATCAAAAATAGCTATTCCGCCATCTTTGATGGTCCGCCATATTGGATTTAGAATAACGTCACATCATTTTGCGAATTACTCTCAACTAGCCCTTTTATTTGATACACATATTATAGAAGTAGACTAAAAATGACCATTCCGCCATCTTGGATGGTTCGCCATACTCGATTTAGAATGACGTCACATTATTTTTCGAGTTACTCTCAACGAGCCTCTTCATTTGATACCCATATTGTGAAAGTATATCAAAAATAGCTGTTCCGCCATCTTGGATAGTCCGCCATATTGGATTTAGAATAACGTGACACAACGTATCGTGCATTGTAATCCAAACTGAACGTGCATAGTGCATACAAAATTTCAGCTCAATCGGTTCAAAATTGAGTTCAAAGATTCCACCCGAACATACATACATATACATCCATACAAACATACAATGCAAGTTAAATGAAAGCTTTTGAAATATTCAAGGACAGATAATAGAAAAATGGAATGTAGGTATTTTTGAAGAATGGCCTTTGATGATATGATTGTTCTCTCATAAGAATGATATATAAGAACTTATTATCCCATATTTCAGATGAATACAATAAAAAATCAAATATCATGAAAATTGTTCCAGCCGTTGTTGAATTAAAAATGGTGTAACTATCACGAATTTGGACTTCCTTGTATATAGACAGATCTAAACATTCTAAACAATCTAAATTCATCGATTGTTTACCCTTAAAACAGTGCCCCATATCCAAATGCATCTTCAGCTTCTAAACTCTGGAGTTCTCGATCAATTGAATTTCCAAAATTTCTACTTTCTCACACTCATGTCCATTTATTTATTGTCAACTCACGTTCTTGAATTTTCCAGCTTCACATAGGTAGGCACAATAACACATCATGAGTAATCATAATTCGAGCACAATGGAAAACTAATAAAATAACATAATACCATAGATTCATAGATTAAAGATTGAAATCTCTTATACATACCAAGGAAGTCTTATACTGAAAATAATTGTGGTTGCAGTATCGTAGATTAATAATAATCTACATGTACCTACAAATATATTAGAAATCCAACAAAAACTAACATTTGACAACTCCGCTTCTATACGCTGAATGCCATGTTACAGAAATCTGTAAAAAATCGAATTTGCGACCACGCGCGGTAATTCGCAATAGCGGCGATAGATGGTAAAAATTCGGGGTCCCAACTAAATCCCAAACAAGCGTTACCGTCTGAATGCATGGGCGGTGTATATCTAGGGGAGTCGTTAATCTATGGTATTAGTAAGTAATTATTATGTATGTACCATAGATTAACGGCTAGTCATTAATCTATGTATGTACATTCTTATTTTCATTCCGTTTCTCTTGGTACCCTGGCATCAATGATCTCTGGAAGAATACATTCTCTGTAGAATTTTGTCAATTTTGGAGTCATTTCATTCCATATATCACATATAAGTATCATTTAGTTATTCTGTTTCATAAATCCAGAAACCAGCAGACATCTGAAAACTTCTACTAGTAATAACACATCAGTTATGTATGGTTGAAATATGGATATTGGTCCTTCCTGAAACAAAAAAAAAACTCAATAATAATTATGTCACACCAGGCCCACTAAAAAAATAGGCATCTAGAAGATGGATACCTACATACCTATAATTAATCCGGAATCTGACACACCCTCTATAGCATGGAACTACCTTTTATCACAGCATGCTGTGCTTTTATATTCAAACCTTTCTGTTTCAAATCATTGACTGGCTTCTCATAGATTTTTTGTTATTTCTGCACAAATATAATCTATTAGGTAGACATTTTTTCTAGATTTCTGATTTCCACTTGAGTATAGGCTGTACCATTCATTCGCTTCGGGTAGGTAGATATCTAAATCTAAAATTAACTTTTATTAGCTTCCAAAGCTTTGCCGTTCTATAGACGAACGAGTTCTGGAAGAGTGTTGTTCGACATATTTCAAGGTTGACAACGAAACGATGTCCCGATTGGGCCTGTCGAGTTCGTCTGACTGGTATTGTTAGTGATGGAATGATAGTAGAGATATCTGAGGATCAATTTCCGTGGAAGTATCTATAGCAAAGTGAAAGGTCGCCGACTTTTCTACTATGTTCTAATGATGTCAAAGTATTAGTGAGTGTGGCATCGCCCACCAGACGAATAGCTCTTCTCTGGATGGAATCTAAGAGCATCAGCGTGTGCATGTTTGGGTGCTGAACCCCATATGTGAGAACAATATTCTGGAACTGGCCGTATCTGTGTTTTGTAGATCATGAGAAGCTGTTGAGGTGTGAAGTAGATTTTCGCACGGAATAAAAATCCGAGTTTTTGCGAAGCAGCTTTCGCGATGGATCGTACATGATTCTCCCATGAAAGAGTATTACTGATGGAAATACCGAGCATCGATATAGTGGTCTTGGTAGGAATGGTGGTACCAGACATCGTAATATCAGACATACTGAGTTCCGTCTTTCTAGAGAAAATACAGGCTTGAGTTTTGGTGGCGTTGAATTCAACAATGTTGTTAGTTCTTCAGGCAGTGAAACACATCGAATACTTAGATACATTTCACGAATTTTCTAATTATAGAATATATGAACGCGTTTATGTATATCTAGTGAGCCGGAATAATAATGATAATAATACCTACCTATATTGGTGAAGTCTATGTAATGTCAGTTGGAACAAAACATCACGGCGGGCCGTCAGTTCCTTTGAAAGTTCAAAGAGAGCGGCAACGCGCTCCGAAATTCCTTCCATGATCTGTTTCAACTGACTTTGGATATCTAAACTATGAATACATATTTTCATTTTGTCAAAAGTACCTTCTTTCGTTGAGTTGTTTCATCAATTTAGATCTGGTAGATCTCTTATATGAACTCTTGATGGTGACATTTTCTCACCATTCGCCGTGATTAAGCAATTACGGAACAAATAAAACAATACGCACAGCACAAGTTATCAACAAACACTAAATCACTTGTTTCATGGGGTAGTAATCAGAGTATAGGTAATAAGTAATGTGGCTGGTCATGGGTCATTCTGATTGGATCGTGGGTGTGGCCTAGCGAGAGGCGGAGATCGTAAGCGTAAATCAATTAAAAGTCAAAAATCGATTTGAAATGCATTTTGCAAAAAACACATGATTTCGACTCATCGCCATGCCGATAGAAATATGTTAGCATTGTCTTATGTTGATGAATGTGAACAAAATTAAAAAAATAAAACAAATTCGTCATTTTCAAAAGCAATTCAACAAGAAACTGAAAGAAAAATTCGAAATATTCTTTCCACGATCTATAGTATTCATCAACATCAACAGATTGTCAAAAATTCAAATGAATCTATCGATTCATTTCCATTCTGTAGTTGAATTTGAAATGCATTATTTGGTATAGGCGTTGTAAAGGTAGGGAACGACCTTAACTCGGCTCTCTCCCTCAGATCACCACCTCGCTTATGGAACCGCCCGGCCCCCGGCACTCCACCCTCATGCTGGCCGACACCGAGGCGGAGAAGAGCAAGTGGGTGGTGGCGCTGGCCGAGTTGCATCGCATCATGAAGCGCAACAATCTGCCCGACACGACGGTGGTGGTGGCGCGCGAGCTGATCGACGCTTCGTTGGCACTGCTGCGGAACGCGCTCAGCGCCGCCATCATCGATCCGGACAGGATCGTGCTGGGCACCGAAGAAGGGATGTATTGCCTGGATTTGGATAGGACGGAGGTATGTGCGATGATTTGATAATACAGGGTGTTTCATAGTTGCGGTGACAACAGCCTATGAGGCGCCGTTTGGTTCATAATTATTTTTTTCGATATATAGACATTAACTCAAAATATAGAAAAAAGCCTATATAATATACGAACATCGATGAAATCAGCTCTTCAGGGAGAATCTAAAAATGCAATAAAATACAGAGTGTTCTATTTGAAACATCAAAGTTGCTACTGCTTTCTAATAGAAGCGGCAACACTGCATTATCGAAAATATTTCAGTTGGCTAGAGAATGTCCGAATATGCCCTCCATTAAATTTTCAAAATGATCCGTTGTCTGGTTCACCAGAAACGTCTAATGTGCCATCCACCGTGAATCAGCCTGTATATTTAAGTGCGACGAAATTTCAATATATATTAGTATGCCTCGCGCCGTTTGGTTCATAATTATTATTTGTAATATATAAAATTTTTACTGAATTTATATAGAAAAAAGTCTATCAAATGCACAAATTTTATATATGACGAAATCTTTATATATATTTGCGTGTCAGGAAAGTCTATATTTGCGCGTCGCGAAAGTTTATATTTGGTTGTACCAGTGTGTGCAGAAATAGATTTTCGGGTTCCAGGGTTTACCGATAGGTGACTGAACGCGGCTGGACGTCAGCACAGAATGAGGTTAGAGGATCTGGCAACACTGAGGTTCTAAGAAATTCATCGCTATTCTGTGTCTATATAATGTAGCTTTAGAAACACCAAGTAATCCTGATATTCTGGTCCAACTCAGACCTGATGTTCTTAAAATCCTTAATTGTTCCTTTGAAATATCATACTTCGGGGGACCAACACTGTTACTGCTAGTTGATGAAGTAAAATATACATAGGTTTGGTCGTGCGAATTAACAGTGTTGAGAACATGCTCAATTTGACCATAAATATCAAACAGTATATTGTAAACTGATGATAATAACTGTTTCAACCTTTCACAGGCCAGTATATTATCAATGAATATGTTCAACAACCTACAGTAGTCCTCAATTTTCCACTGAGCTTGAGATAAGGCTCTTGAAGAATCTCCTTGCGTCCAGCCGCGTTCAGCCACCTATCGGTAAACCCTGGAACCCGAAAGTCTATTTCTGCACACACTGGTACAACCAGATATAAACTTTCGCGACGCGCAAATATAGACTTTCCTGACACGCAAATATATATAAAGATTTCGTCATATATAAAATTTGTGCATTTGATATGGACTTTTTCTATATAAATTCAGTAAAAATTTTATATATTACAAATAATAATTATGAACCAAACGGCGCGAGGCATACTAATATATATTGAAATTTCGTCGCACTTGAATATATAGAACATTTTTCACACGATATAAGAAATTTTGCATATAATATTGATAATTTCGTATATTATATAGGATTTTTTCTATATATCGCGTTAAAATTTCTATATATCGAAAAAATAATTATGAACCAAACGGCGCCCCATAACAGCCTCTCAACGAAATATGAAAATAAAGTTTATATGAAAATGGCTCCGAGAATTGTTTATTTACACAATTATCAATCATTAACTGGACCAATTAGATTTGATCCAGAATTTTTATGTGCGTACCCATCGAGCAAGTCAGCTTTTTTTCGTAGAAAAAAAGTCACCCTGTGTTGTTTTCGTATCCAGATAAACCCACTAAAAATACATTTCTGTCTCTTGCTATTTTTTCGTATCTTGGTTTCCGAGAAAAACTGTCAATACCATACTTCGGCATATCTCTGAACCCCAAGGAAAAATAAATATGTTATAGTATCCAAAAATGTATTTAATGAAGAAACAAAAAATTCAATACCCTCTCTAAAATGTATAGGATCATATTTTTTCTAGATATTAATAAAAACACATTTTTTTCAACTTGGACACCCTATATCTTGGAAACGAAGCATTTTCGGACCCATTTTCATGTGATTTTTTTTATATCTTGTTGAGAGGAATCTCCTCTAGGCTTTTGTCACCACAACTATGTGGTGTCTAGAGAAAGAATTGACAAGGTTATAAAAGTGCGAGGCAAGAGGCCAACATGGCGCAATGAAATCAGCTGATCGTTGGTAAAAATGTGATATTTCCATAGAAATCATGTATATACTGACACTAGAATGATAATTCCCATCAAGTTTCACAGCGAAAAGGGTCGTCTCGCATATGCGACTTGTTTCATGATATGCGCATGCTCAGTTTTAAGTTCCTTGAACTACAACATTGCCAGATTTTTAATACAGTTGTTGATGACACTATTTTAATCGAGATAAGACTAGATATTTCACATGTTATTTACAGAGTTGTGAACTTACATAAATACTGTGCTACTATGTTGTATTTGGACTGTTCGCAATTCGAATCTGATGAAAGTAGTTGTTTTTATCCTGTCATCTACCATTGTTGTTCATTTTATGAACATTTGTGGAAATTACTTTTTACTTTGAGCTTTTTGTCTTTATTTATACTCCAAATGTATCAACATGAGAAATTTTTGTCTACAAACTTGACAGAAAGATGGATCTTGACAGGAATACGAAAAAAGTTCCTAAGTTTAACAAATTTATATTTTAGTTCGAAACAGAGGTCACTGGCTTATGAAAATATCGTCAATGAAGTCGATAATCAAATTTAAAAATATACTGGGTCATTTCTGGAAAATATCCCGAAATATACTGTAGTCAGCTAGAGTCACTAGATGGTATTAGTTAGATAAGAGATCGGACACAGCTGAACTTCTGTCCTTTTCTATTTTCTATATTACAATGGTTTGAGTGAATAAAAGAATGAGACATATATTCTGCTCGTTGTCTTTCCAATTTCCCTGTCATGTCAAATCAATCATTGTCGTAGATGAAAAATAGAAATAGGGTATAAACACCCAGTTCAATTTATATTGTGATACACTTTCCGCAGAACAATAGTTATGAAAATGAATAGAATTCATGTAACAACATTTTGATATGACGAAATAGACACATATGGATATACTCAATGCTAATTCCTTAATGTATGTAAAACTGTACCCGATTGATTAAGTTTAAAACATAACGATTGTTTTGATTTTTCACCTTCTGCTGCATTCACTTTTCACTGATGAATTTTGAATTTGGTTGGTATTGAAAACGCCATTCAATGATAGTATATCACGTTGCTATTTACTTGACTTCCTCAGTTTCGTTCTCAAATTTTCAATTTCATTACGTAGTTTTGCGATCAATTGCTCTTTCTCTATGTGATAATATCATTTCACATTCCGTGTGGAATTGTTTTTCAATAGTCTGTTTTGTAAATCTATGGAACAGCAGATTCTGTCAAAATCTTCTTTTTGAAAATGGGACTAAAATATAGTTTTATTTCAATCTGATGTTATAAGAAGTGAATTTTAATGTATATACTTACCTCACAAATTTTGCTTGTGTTCAAATTAATTTTCCATCCAGACCGTTTCATACATTCCTTCCATAAGGGAATGGTTGATATTTCCTTAGGAAAATTGGAGAAATGAAACCGCCATTCCCTTCAGAATTCCCTCAATTCATTACACAGCAGGACATTTTCATTTATGCTTTTTTTCTCAAGAGTTTATGAAATTATATTTCAATTCTGACGTTCATAATATTTATTGTCAAATTGAAACAATTTTGAATGAAAAAGTGCGGAACGACTATGATGGCGTTGTTACAATGCAAGGTGTGTAACTTAATAAATCTAAACATTCAATAAACACTAACAGTTCTGCCGTCGTAACGAAGAGGGCCGTATCTGCATATTTCATGATTTTGGGGTTAGATGTCAGCCCAATAGAATCGAGGATGGGAAATCTATTTATGTAGCTTAAATTGCCGTGTATGTATCAGAAATGCCTGAAAATACACTTACGCTTTTCCTAAAATTACGTCATGAGGAAGTAGTTGTATATTAAATTACCGTAACAGACATTTGTAGGTGAAAAAACAGTATATGGTTATTTACCACCTTATAAGCTAATCATACGAGTTGATAATCCGATCCCTTTTTAGCTTAAAGAATCGTATCACAGATTCCTTACTTATAACACGGTATCTACTAGTTTGACATATCGATATTATAAATTTACCGGTGTCCGAGTCAGCAACAGACCCTATCACAAATTTCCAGTGAGAAAAAATACTTTGTTTATATCGAGGTTTATAGTATTTTTCTTCCATAATTATTCTAGATGTTCTGTATAATGTTAGATACCTTGTTCATGAATAAAATATGTTTTTTTTTTTCTCTTAATTTAGCTTATATAAGCGTAAGTGCATTTTGGATGCTTTTCGGATATTTTTTGCATTTATCCGATCTCGATTCATTCATCGTCATCAAAAAACTTGATACATACCAAAATCTCAGAATGTGCTGTGAATTTTTGAGAAATATAGAGTTTCAAAGTTATGCGCAGTTTACTCCAGACAGTGTTTTTGCAGATTCGGTTCTCTATTACGGCAGAGTTGTCATTTGTGTCCGAACTCTTGTCTAACTAATACCATCTAGTGACTCTATTTTTGAGAAATATAGAGTTTCAAAGTTATGCGCAGTTTACTCCAGACAGTGTTTTTGCAGATTCGGTTCTCTATTACGGCAGAGTTGTCATTTGTGTCCGAACTCTTGTCTAACTAATACCATCTAGTGACTCTATTGTCAGCTAATCTTCATTTCTATTTTATTTCCATTGAAGACTCAGTTGCCGAAATACATTTGCTGAATATTATTGTGGTATTTTGGGTATATTTTTGTATTTGACTCTTTATGAAGTCTACATCTTACCACTATAGTCCCTTTATGTATTTGAAAGTTCTGCTGTAATAAGAGTACGGACACTATGACAAGCAGTGACGTAAGGCATAACCCTAAAAAATTTGAAATGACATGACCAATTTGACGGGCACTGACAGTCCATGAACGTTCATGAAATTGAATTATTTTTAAATTCAGTATTTCAAAAATTAGAATGGCTAATTGTGTCATTAATTGAGTTCAGCCAGCAAAATTTGCGAAGTAAGTACCTACTCAATATTAGAATTTTTTGATTGAATATGAAATATGATGCATACTCGAAGGAATATAATACCATGTCCAATTTCAATTTCAACATAATAGGTGCACTTCAAAAGTGAAGATTTGATAGTGGAACATACCATTGAATTATAAGAAAATGCGAGGCCTCCATTCTATCATCAGAAAGATTACCAAAGACATTCTTCATCGAATTCTGACAAATTTTTACAAGAAGAAATTAAAATAGAAAGCCAAGATAAAATTGACTGTATTTTATTAGATCACAAACAAGAAAGTATCGAAGATTTATAGAAAAAATATGCCAAAATTCAAAATGTATCAATAGGCAATGATGGAAAATACAGAAAAAAAAGGATGAACAGTTGAAAAATACCTTGAAACGAAAAACTCTGCAACGAGACTGCAATTAACGAGAATTCACAGCTTTTATAAGGAACTAATTTCAGATCTTGAACTAAATCTCATCAAAATCTTTGGAAGACTGTGAAGGAACTGCGAATGCAAAAATGCAGGCAATTTTGAATCGAATCAAGATCCAAATTGATAGTTTCAGAATATATTTCAACCAAAATCATAGTCAACTTCAGTACTTGAACACGCGAATCCATGAAATCGATGACAAATTGAAAAGTATTCTAAGTAGAGTTGCTATCGATCGAGTTGATCGATCACATGCACTATAGAGTGTCTTAATATTTTATGAGAGCAAATATAAGATTGTGAATTGGTTGAATTGTTCTTCTCATTCATTTCGCTCTGCAGAACTGGCTACTAAATCCTGATTCTTTTATTGAAAAACTAGTGCATCCTAAAATTAACTGAATTGACTTAATGGTGGAAAAAAATATCAACAAAATTCAGTTCTAAAGATCATTGTACAAAGGAAAGGCAGGATTTAAAAAATAAAATTACTATTAAATCTTCACAAGAACTCACTGATGGTTCTGGTGAGATCAATGAGGAAAACATGTAGGTCATTCAGATTTATGTGCATGCCAGATATTCTCTGAATAAATAATGGGTTAAGTTGAAAACATCATTTTTGCTGATACTCCGCCTATTCTCCACTATCATATTGCTCATAGGTCAGTGAGATCTCGATGAGATACTTCTGTGATATCGTGATGCGATATTGCTCTAACATCGCGGTGCAATATTGGTACGACATCCAAGCGAGTGTGACAAAAGTACGTCCCCGTGACGTCTACGCGACTACCTGATTCAATGTCGCAGTACTCATGGCGATATATCATAGATGTTCATGCGACATCGCATTGTTAGCTGGGTCCTAACTAATATCACACCTGATTATCTATTTGTTTTTGTCGAAAGGTGGCGAAGATCGGCGAGGGCAAGAAGATCTTCCAGCTGGAGTACATCGGCGAGGAGCACCTGCTGGTGGCGGTGAGCGGCAAGCAGCGGCAGGTGCGGCTGGTGCCGATCCGCGCCCTCGACGGCGACGACGTCGAGTGGATCAAGGTCACGGAGAGCAAGGGTTGCTCGGTGCTGACGGTGGGGCCGGTGCTGAGGGCGCCGCTCACGTTCTGTCTGTGCGTGTCCATCAAGAAACAGGTAGGTGTCGGGTCTTGTTCGTTTGTTTGGCTAGTCTTGAAAGTATAATAATCAAGATGGCGGGTGGCGTAAAGTTGTCGTGCGAGTCGTGTGCCAAAAATATTAAAATCAGAGTATAAAGTGCAATGTGGGACCTGTGAAAAGTGATATCACCCTACTTGTGCGTTAATAAATGAAATGGATGTGAGAATTATGCAACTGAAGAAAAAAGGGTGGTTTTGCAATAATTGTAAATCCAAGCGGAAAAGCGAGGTTAATTCCAGTCTTGGGGCTGAGGCCATAAATTCCTCTTTTAAAGAAAAAGAAGAAGACCTCCGTACCAGGATAGTACCAATACCGATAGACTCCACAACCAGTGATAGGCTAGAACTACTTATTCTCGAGCTAAGGACAGAAATACGAGAAGTTAAAAGTTATCTAACCTTTATGAATGAAGCTTATGAAGACAATAAAAATCGAAACACAATTATGGAGCAAATTATACAGGAACTTAGGAAGGAAAATGAAACTATGAAAAACGAATTAAATTCTATAAAAATATACATGAACAATGAAGAATCGGACAAAATTAAAAATAATCTGGTCCTCAATGGTATCTGTGATGACACTAAGGAAGATCCCAAGAAAACCAAGTATAATGCCATCAAAACTTTACATTATATTGACGAAACCCCAGTGGAAAATGATGTGAAAAATGTAAGAGTTATAGGTGTGGAGGACAAAATAACTTGAGTGATAGTTACCATGAACGATTATAAAAAGAAAATAGATGTGTTGAAAAACAAAAATAAAAAAAGGCATCAATAGAATGGCCTGCAATCGGAATCTAAATGAAGGAACACTTAAGATCTACATCAATGAAGAACTAACATCAACAACCAGTACCTTATTTAAAGAAGCATACAAGCTGAAAAGTGCTGGATACTAATTTGTTTGGCATAGAAATAGTATCATATTTGCAAGAAGGAAGGAAGGCGAGAATGCTGTCAAAATTGACAGTAAAAAACAAGTCCATGAGATGCTGGAAATGGTAACAGCCTAAAAGACCCTGCCTAGTTGAAACAGGCTATTATTGGTTTTTTTCTTTTATCCATATTTATGATGCACAATGAATTATTTGATGACTATCAGAATTACGAAGTTGAATTTTGTGATAATGTCAATGATGTTAGCTATTTCAATAGTCCAAATGCAGATTTGAATATAATTCATGTTGATATTCGTAGTTCAAACAAAAACTTTGATCATTTTACTGTCTTTCTAGAATCACTGCAGAAAGAATTTGATGTAATAATAATGTCAGAAACAAACATAATAATTATTATTATTATCATTATTATTATTAAAAAGTGATAATGGACTGAGGTGTGAACCTATAAAAGCCCATTTATACATGACATAGTTGTATGGTACACATAAAGAAAAAAAATATATATATGTAAATAGCTACTAGACAAACAATTAGATTAAAATAAAATTGAAAAAACAATTAAAAATGTTGAATAGAAATTGAACATTTCGAAATAAAATAAACAGATATAATGTGATGCAAACTGAAAAAAAAAACAATTTACTCAGTAATACGATCTAATCGACTTTTGAATGATGATACTGAGGGTGCATTAACTATGTCTGTATCCAGGTTGTTCCATGCCGAGAAAACACGATTTACTATGAAGTTCTGCCGATTTGACGACCTGAAATGTTCCTTCTTAAGTTTGAAATTATGTCCTCTTAATCGTGTATCATCATTTATCTGGAACATATCACTCAGTGAGGGTAGAAATCCATGAAGAATCCGATAAGTTAGGATCAAGTCTCCACGATGTCTTCGATCTTCGAATGTTGTCAGGCTTAACTGATTCAAACGTTCATGGTATGATGGTCTTCTGAGACCGAATGACATTCGGGTTGCTCGTTGTTGCACAGATTCCAACATGTTACGATCTCTGATCAACTCCGGGCTCCACACTTGTCCTCCATATTCTAGGATTGGCCTAACATAAACTTTGTAGAGGTTAGTGAACGTTTCAGGTGACGTTTTCGGAAAAACTTTTTTCAAGAGGTACAATTTTGTATTCGCTCGTTTGCATATGTTTGAAATATGTTGTGACCACGTTAAATTGCTGGTTATGGTAACTCCAAGATCATTGTGACATTCAACCTTAACTAATTGCTCATCATTGATGGTATAATTTTGTCTAGGATTATTTTTACCAAGGTGAAGTACAACACATTTATCAATATTCAGTGGTAGTAACCACTCACAACTCCAGTTGTATAAGGCAATTAAATCATTTTGCAATATATGTTGTGATTTTGTGTTGTTGTAAAGTTTTGTGTCATCAGCGTAAAAAGAACAGGTTGACTTAAAAATATGTGATAAATCTGATGTGTAACACAAAAACAACAGAGGACCAAGTACAGATCCTTGGGGAACTCCACTCAATACAGGATATTGTTCAGAGAAGCAATCATCTATCCGGACACAAAAATATCTGTTCTCTAGAAAATTCTGGATTTACGTCAGTAGTAGCCCGCGTACACCAAAATGTTCTAATTTACACAAAAGTCTTTTTCTAGGGACACGGTCAAATGCTTTAGAAAAGTCTAGATAAATAATATCCATAGGGGTATTATTGTCCAAATGTTTTGACCAGACATTCACGCACTCCAATAAGTTTGTTGTAACTGACCGATTTGGAACAAAACCATGTTGTTGTTGCGGAATTATTTTGTGATATAACAGGAACGTTTTTAATTCATCACTTATTATTGATTCCATGATTTTGCAAGCCACTGAGGTGAGACTTATAGGTCTGTAGTTGCTTGGGTCGAGCTTTTTACCCTTTTTGAATATTGGTGTTACAGATGCTAACTTCCAGCTATTTGGTAAACAGCAGTTTTTGAACCTAGATGACTTCATTTTATCGAATTATGATGTATACTACAATGAAAGTAAAAAAAATAAGTGTGATGGCACTGTGATATATGTTAAAAGTGAATTTGCTAATGAATCAAGTATATTGACAGTGAACAACACTAAATTATTGAGAGTCACCTTGAACAAAAATGGTATTTCAATAGGGATCATTGGAGTTTACAAGTCACCCTCTATTGATTGTGAGAGTTTCATAACAGATGTTGAGCAAGTTCTGAGAAATAATTATAATTGTAATATAGAAATATTTGCAGGTGACATAAACATAAATATTTTAGAAAAAAAGAATAGGATAGCGGATGAATATCTAAATTGTTTGAGTGAAAAAGGTTATAGTTGTGTCATTGATAAAGCCACACGAGTGGAAAAAAACAGTGCTACATGCATTGATCACTATTTCATTAAATATAATGATGTGAATGCTCTCCAAACCAATGCAATTATTCTAAATAGTGGAATCTCTGACCATTTTCCAATTTTACTAAATGTGAGATTATCAAATAATAGCAATCAAATCCCAGTAACAAACAAATATTATGAAAAACTTGACAATGATTAACTTGGGAGTTCATCAGAAAATGAGTCTTGGAATGAAGTAACAAATAGTAATGATGCGAATTCAAGCTCAGAAAAGTTTATCTCTATATTACAAAATCACATTAACAATGCCACTCATCTAGTTTATGTAAAATGCAGGAACAGAAAAATAAAGACGCAGGGTATAACATGAAGTTATAGTCATGTTGTAGCCATCTAGTAGCAGAGCCCTAGGGTGGGATACAAAAATCGCGACACACACTGTATGGCGCTGCCATCTATAGTCACACGTACAGACCCCTACGTCTCTACGCTACTGGTACTACAAGTAAACCACTCTGCTGACAGATGGCACTACCTGACATACTTGAGTGGAATTTTTCCACCACCTATTCAACTGCTAGATCTCATAACTAAGAGACATTCTATAACCTGTCAACAGAGGTGAAATTCCAAACTTTTGTCCCGTCACAGTAAAAAATAGTTATTCCTGATTAGAGTCCCTGTATGTATTTGACAGATTTGACAGAAGAACTGTCAAATACATACAGGAATTCTATTCCTGATCAGGTCCCATGAAAAATATCATCAGCTAAAATTATATATTTTGCCATCTACTCAATACTTTTATATTGTGTCCGATGTTCCAATATTTGATACTGTCTGTAGGTTGATCGAAAAGCTGAAATACTCTTATGTACGGTTTGTTCTTTGCAGCAAAATTCTTCTGGCATAATCATTTACGAAATAACCCGAACCAAAACGAGGCACCACCGAGTTCGTGAAATAAGTTTGCCAGTGAACATTCAATCTTTACAATTACTTTCTGATGGACGTTTATGCGTTGGCTCCCCATCATGTTTCACCATCTACGATATACAGAGTGGCGATCAGCAACTAATAAGTAAGGACATTTTATGTATTAATAATAAGTGGTTCCAAATAAGCGGATATTCGTGTAACTAATAAAAAGTACATTGCATGTTTGTTTACATTTAGGTTTCCATGTATTTTTTCGAAAGTTTAGTGGTCATTTTGATATTTATCAAGTTTGAATTCATCAGTAGAGTATCTCGTATCATTGTTGCTCTGTTTCTGATGTTATTCATGAAAGTCTCCACACTGCATTTCACAGAAAATGATAATTTCAATCAGTGGAATTGAAAGATTTTTCTCAACTCCAAGATTGAATTCAGTTGTATTATATTATTTTTATTCCTAGAAATGATAAGTTACAAAATACATGTATGCACGATCGGGCGTAAAGTAGCACCTTACTGCCCGGTTTTGCGGGCGTGAAGTGGCACTTTATTGCCGGAGTATCGTAATAAGCATTCCTGTATGATTCAGGACATTTATGTTTTACTTGTGATGGTTCATTATTTTATATTACAGTTCTCTTGATATTTCTGAGATGCAAAATATTATGAGACATCCCAATATAGGTTTCCGTGATGACATTAATTGACAGCAAATATAAGTCTACTCCTATTTTTACACTCTTCGGTCCATAAAAGCCTATTTTACGTCCTTTTTCTTGTTATTCGCACATGCATCCAGCTTTGAGAACATTTTATTTTCTATAAACACATGTAGAATATAGATGAATCGTTTGAAATATATTTCAGATTCAACATCATTTATCTACTCCACCTGCAACATTTATTGCACTACTAAATGTGAACGAACTGCAAATTGATGTTACGTCAAATTGGAGCATTTTTATTTGATGAAAATCATGTATTCAAAGTAGTGAAATATACTTTATCGAACGAATATCTGCTGAAATGCTCCCCCTAATCACAGGAGTACTTGAATAAACAGTCAAAAATAAAGTTTTCCCTGCTCAAATCACTAAATGTGCTACATGGTTGTTGTAATCACCTTCACTTCCGGTTATGCCGCAAGTTCGCAAGACTTTCTCATTGCAGATAGAACGCCCTGTATAACGTTTTTTTATCATTTTTCAAGTATACTAAACGTTTGGGACATGGATTTTATTATCTGCCATGAGTCTATTTTGAAATCGTCTGGTTGTGTACATGAAAGTTTATTTTGAAAATGAAATATTCTGTGCCAAAAAGGTAGTATGGGCATTGATCGATTATTATAATTTTTGATGTGGCATGTTCTGTGTCAATTTTAGATATTCTTGATCTTCATCAGTTAGTTTGTATTCAACAAAAATTTCGCAAAACAAATTTGGTGGTACCTTTTCAGGGCCAATTCTGAGAACTTTAATTTTTTTCGAAAAAGATATATTCTTCAGAAATATTTTTTGTCTTTGTAATTTGTTATTGAGAGGTTCATCGACAGAATATGTTTATCACCCAGTATATTATTCCAAAATGTTATCAGTTTTGAGAAGATTATGGCAAACGGTGCGCACGAAAGGAAATCCCTATAATGTTCGAAGAACATCGTGCGTACCTGGGGAGGATAGGGTGAGGAGGTAGGTATTGGATTCTTTTTCAACTACCGGAGATTAGAAGTTATTGGAAATACTACCTCAGACAATAAATTTCAGAGCTTTGCCGTATGATATCGTTGAATTCGTGATAACAGTCTGTATCTGAAAATGGAATAATATACTGAGTTGGATACTGAGTATGCATTGTAATATTTTGTTTTCAATATGTGATATTCATTGGCCTAGATGACCTACAGTGAGGAATTAAGATATACATAAATACCTGTATAAGAATCAAGAATTCGTGTTGGAAAGTCGACGTTTTGAGTTTCAATTTTGATTTTTGCAGATAATTTTCTACGATAACACGCATAGTATTTTTTTGGTTTCATGGACAATAAATTGATAGGAAACAAAAGGAAATATCTGACGACCACACACTGACTTCTAACTAGATAATGTACTCAGCAACTGGAAAAGGAATAGGGAGAATTTATTTTTCAGACATAATCTCAACAATATAAATTATCACCATTCACAATCCAAAAAAAAAACGAATAAATACACTATTTCTTTCGACATTTTTTGGAACCTTCTCTCAGAATTTACGGTGTCCAAATTTTGGAAATGACCTCATGATCTATCTTACCTTGGATCTATCAAAGGCAATCTCTTTCGTCTCCAAAATACCATTTTCACAAACTTTCTCAAATTATTTTGCATTTTGAAAGTTCAGTCATAGACACTGCATTGCATCTAGTATTTTATCCATAAAGACTGTTTTGTAGATGAAACAGTTCAGGATGTAGCTTCACGTAAGTTACATATTTCAAGATGTAAATTCAAGTGAGTTTAAGAATTCCATATTAAAACTGAGGCGTACAATTCTCTTCTGAGCAATAAATACTTTATCAAGTAAAATTCATAAAAAGGGTTTTACTTTCATTGCGAATATGGTCATTTCTTTGACACCACCAGGTCACGTATAGTCTGACCTTCTTTCACTTGGAGTTCCTCAGGGATTTTCACAGATTGAGTAATTGTGGTGTCATCTGCAAATATTATCATTTTGTCTCTGGGGATGTAGTTTGGCAAGTCATCGATATGAATTCGAAAAATTGAGGGTTTTAGGACAGAGACATGAGGAACTCCAAGACAAATGGAATGTTTTTGGGAAAGTTGATTCCCAATCTTGACAACTATTTTCAGGTTATGTAAGTAATATTAAATCCATCTCAGTGATCTGCCTCCTAAGGCGTTGGAGCGGTCAAGCAGGTATAGAGGCATTCTGCGCCATCTAAACGTTTCTAGATGTACAGTCTATTTGAGAGTATGACATTTGTATCAGGTTAGAAGTTCCACTTGTAATCTATATTTTTTTTTAAACATAATTGTAACTCTTGGCAATGGGCTTGTATCACAAAAAAAATTTATTTCATAATTCGATAGAACTCGCCCAAACTAGCTCACCACCGCAAACCGTTTCTTGCTGTGAGCTCCCTACGTTTTATAAAAAAATATTGAAATCTCCGATTTTTCGGACCTCTGAAAACAAGGCGATGATGTGACGTCAAAACCCTAATACTGAAACAAGACTATTCCAGACAGAGATGATTGATTCATGATTTCTGACAGAGTGAATTAGAGCGAGATCACAGTTGAAAGAATTAATATATCAGTTGCCTCAGTCTCTGTCGGGCGTTTGGTATTTTCCTTCAACTATGGCGAGATGAGGTTTCTACGTCATAAGAGGGTCCGTTTTCAGAAGGTACTATTATTGATGTCCAAAAATAAAACATTCCAAATAAATAAAGTTGCTTTTATTAAATATCTTGGAATTTATATTGATCAACATTTAAAGTGGAATCATCACGTTTCAGAACTTACTAAGAAGCTCAGAAGTACTCTTCCAAAATTCAGATTTTTACGAAATATTGTTAATAGAAATTTAATCATAATGTTATATCATGTACTTTTTCAATCTATTCTGTCATATGGAATCATTGGATGGGGTGGTATGTATGAGACTCATCTCAAACCATTATTAAGTATTCAAAAATATGTTTTGAAAATAATTTTTCGCAAACCTTTGGATTATCCATCATCCTCATTATTTGTAGATAATCATATACTGAATGTCAAACAATTATTTTATAAAGCATCATTGAATTTCTTGAAAAAAAACACTGCATTTAGTAATAAAATTAGTCACAATTATTGTACAAGAAATGATAATGTTCAACTTGAAAAACATAATCTCAAAATCATGCAAAACCATAGTAGTTTTATTGGGTCAAAAATTTTTAACAGAGTTCCATCAAAATTGAGACGTTTGAATATTGTAACATTCAAAAAAAAAATTAAAATTTGGTTTTTGGATAATGCAAAAGAAATTGATAATCTCTTCAAATAATTTTTTTTTTTTTTTTGTTTGTGTGCTTTGTATATATTGAATTTATAATCAATATTTAATCTAAATATTTTTAAGAACTTGAAAATTTTTTACAAAAAGTTTATAATAATTATCTAATTCACACACAGGTCAATAACCTATGTGAAGTAGATAAAATTTAGAATTTTTATAATATTAGAATATGTATGTCTTTGTAAATGTATTCATATGAGAATAAATAAATAAATAATAATAATAATTCCAGTTAATTTTTCGATCGAATTATGTCGTCAATCATTATTTATGTACAAAAGGATCATTATAAACATGGTTTGAGTTAAAAGTTCTACTAAGGTGTACACGCCCATTGTCAGTTTGCTGAATAGATCATTATAATGTATGGATATATCTTCATCTCATTCCATATGCCTCATTCACGGCGATCTATCCATAATTGAATGAAATAAAAATTACTTCGAATTGTACCCTAATCATCGATTCTTACTTTTCAGCTCTGCTACATCCAGAAAATCCACTTTACGCGACAATAATGTGTAGTGTCGTGGAAGCTTTGCGGGTCATTGAACTTCCGCGGCACGAGTATTTGTTAGTTTTTGGTACTTTAGCGGCTTACGTTGACAGACATGGTAGAAGATCTAGAGACAGGGAGATTATGTATCCTGCAGTACCCACAGCAATTGGTAGGTTGTGTTTTTGTTATTTCATAGGCATGAATATTTCATCAAAAGTTGGATCATCAACAATTATGTTTGACATATCCAAGTTCATATAAACAGTCAACACAGGAGTGGAAATGACATGTATTCTAGTCTATAGTATTCTGGATCAACCTGTCTTTTCACACATCCTTGTTCAAGAGTGACACAACTCAGGTATATATTTTGTTTATTTTCAGGTTATAGAGACGGTCATTTAATAGTGTATAGTGAAACGCATATCGACATATTCAATTGTGCTACAGGAGAGTGGGTTCAGACGGTGAACATCAAGAAAGCGAAACCGTTAAATGAGAGCGGTAGCCTATCTTTATGTCTCTTGAACGATCTGGCACATCTCCTGTATCTGTCAAACATCCATCAAAGTAAGTTTTTTATTCGCGGGAATCAATGTTACCAGATGGCGCTTGGTTTTCATCATTCCATGTCAAAGCCACGTCAAAACTGGGGGAAAACAAATTCAATCCTCACTCAACCCCATTAGTGCCATTAGCTTGTGTACTGTGTACTGATAAGAGTGATAAGTTTTCAAATTTCTTGACATTAATTGTCAATATTCGATCGAAAACGCTAATAATGCCTATTGTGGAAGTACTTTTGGCAGATATTTTGCTCTATTTAGATGGAAAAAGCCGACCAGTAGTGAAAGGAGATGCAGTTCTCCGTGCTAATCATATGATTTTGTGTGAGGAGGAAGACTTCAACAAACGGCACATTTTTGAACTTTGTCTACAAACTTCGGCGATGAAATCTTCCCCACATGAAGTAAAATTGAAGTTGGGGTCCAGAGGAACTCCTGTAGAACAATGGATTTGTATTTGTCCATGTAAAGCAGGACAATCTGGGCATTGTTAACATGTTGTAGCTGTTCTTTTATATGTCAATTGATTTGCTCGTCATAATTAGTTTGAATTGTTTGAACTGTCTCCAATTCTTCACCCGTTCACTGTTCGCTAAACTAATGAAAATGTAATAATGTAAAAAAATTAGCCAACTCAACCATCATCACTACCAACAGTGCCAACACTTTATGTCATTGATAAGTTTGACTACAGCTACAGCAAGCTGAATGCAATGTAGTCTATGCACTTTATCCATAGACAACAGTTTGTTTTCCCCCAGTTTGAAGTTCGCATTATGTAACCTAGATGTCGCCCACTTCGTGAATCTCGCGAATAGGTGCTTAAAATATAAAAACAAGCTCAAATGGCAAAATGTCGTTTTGTCTTTGTTGACTTTTGAATTAAAAAATTGTATTGTTTTCTAAGTTGCAGATTCAGTACTAAAGCCTCTTTCGCTTTCATCAGATGCTCTATCAACTAAAATATTGAAAAAACACCTTGTATAGTTAGTTTCCTGAACTTTGATTCGACGAACAATTAAAATTTCTTCAAATATAGACAATATGGACAATAATAGTTTGCTATGTATGGTAAATATCACATAGTTAATCGCCATTTTCTTGAAAGCTGTATGTCATACATATTTTATTATCAGACTGTATAATCAAACTTTTTGATTTACAGGAGTTTTTTCTCATCTAAAATATCAAAGTTAATTTTTTTTTCTGATGATCCGGAAGTGAACTGAGTATTCAATATTTACTTCTGTAACACCAGTATAACTTTTCAAAATTTAAAATGTATTTTTACAATGATGTATGTGTTTGAGAATGTTGTACCATTTACATAATAATGTATTTCCAGGAGAAGTCATCAATCTGGACAATATTGTTACAATCGATAGAGATGGCAGAACAGTGCAAAAGACGAAAAGAAGATTTTCATTGAGGGAAGGAAACAGAACACAACGAATGTAGGTCAATAACATTTGCTTATGTAATATTTTTTTGTCAATGTTCCTTGGTTATATTATTAATTTTTCAGAAACTCATAAATGATCAAGAAATCGTTTTGAGAACCTCAAAAGCCATAAACCAATAGGTTGAAATCAATCTGGTTCATTGTTGTTGACTATAAATTACGGAAATCAATATCTCTTCTCGAATGGCTATTTATAAGATTTTCTTTTATTAATACAAAACTAGTCACATTTGGTTGTCAATTTATACACACCAACAGAATGATAAGAACTAGAAATGGAACTGGAGCATAAAAGAATATTTCTTGAAAATGTTCATCTTTTCGGTAACTGAAAAACTGACTTGAGTTGATGTAGGTAGGTAGGATACTTTCGAAATAATGAGGGTGCAGATTTGGTCAATTGGATGTGTGCAAGATGTGCTTTCCTGAACAATTTATCAAAAACAAAGCTGAGGAATATTGATTTGTCCAAGTATTAAATTTTCTCATTATAGGAATTTCCTTTCGTGCGCTTCAAGAGATGAAAAAAAATACAGTGCTTTCCTAAAAAACTGATTAAATAAATGCATTTCAATCCAAACTATCCATTTCTTAGAAATCTCCTGAAACAGGTCGATTCTAATTTTCGATTTGCCACATTCTTTAAGAAAAAACTTATGACGTTCGCGACAATTTTGTCAAATCAGGCACCCTATATATCATAGTATTTTTAGAATCTCCATTGAGAGCTGAATTCAAAAATATATAACACATAGGGTTTCTATACAGTTCGTCTGTTAAATTGACTACTATCAGTGGATAAACTCATTTTTAGTCAAACTGTTCATTTTTGATCGGAAATTTTTGTTTTCAATTCGCCACATTTATGATAGAAAATAAAGTATACAGGGTGATCAAAGTTGAGTTATGACGTCCGCGACAATTTTATCAAATGGAATACTAATATTATTGCATTTTTGGAATCTCCATGAGAGGCTGGATCCAAAAATACAGGGAGACAATGAAATAAATACGACTATTCCATACCCTGAGTTTTATTAAGCTCGACCTATTAAAAAAAATATAGGTATCAAAATAAAATTTAATAACATCCCTTTTTCCATCCAAAGTTTTACACTGGAGCAATTCTGACGTCACCTCTTCAAATTTCCGTGCGAAAGTCACAATCACTCGGAGTTCAATCATTCAAATTATTTTCATTTTTTGGGATGGCATTTTTCGTTAATTAAAAACTCATATTTTTGTAAAATCCGTTAGACTGTACCATATTGATGTGCAAAATATATTTTGAAAATCGGTTCATTTGCGAAAAAGTTGTTGCATTTTGAAAAACATCGAAAATTGGGGTGGACTATTTAATTGTTTGAGCACTTTAGTTAAGTGGTTTTATAATTGATAAACTAGCCGTACCCCAAACAGATATCAAATATTACATTTTAGAATAAATTAAGGAATAATAGATAAGTTTTAGTTGATTCAAAAAAATTTCATGTCTAATTCTGTAAAGTACTCCTATCATATCACTCGGTTATTTTTGTACTAAACGCTAAACGACGAGTGTATTTTTTTCAGCAATACCGATAGGCGATCGAAACTTATATCGGCGCCGACCAATTTCAACCATATCAGTCATATGGGACCAGGTGATGGAATCCAACGGCAGAGGTTGATAGACTTGACTCCGACCCTGGCAGATCAATTACCAGATCATACTACGTTCGGGGGTAGCACTACTCCACAGCCCAGGGTAAGACATGAATTATTTATAAAATGGAAAAACATGAAGTCATTTTCAAGTAGAAGTGTCGTTTTAGTTGATGGTCGAATATAAATTGGTTATCAGGTTAGATATAATTCGAGAGAGTACTGTTTCGGCTTGCCAGGCATCGTCAGCCGCTCTTGTGGATTGTGTATAGGTGATTAGTCTCAATCTCCAAATTAAAAATAAAGTATTGAAAAGAACTACACAAATAAAGTATCTTGGTATGTGGATTGATGAAAAATTGAAATGGGACAAGCATATAGAGGTTCTGATTCAAAAAATATCTCCGATCATTGGAGCTTTGCGAAGATGTCCTAAACTTGACAAAAAAGTCATAAACATAGTACTTCATTCTCATATACTTAGTCGTATTACCTATATGATAAACGTTTGGAGATCTTGTTCAAAAAATTATTTCAGTAAAATATCTGCACTTTATAAGAAAGCACTGAAAGTATTGTATCGCCTCTCATTTGATATCCCAACAAATGATCTGTATGTCATAACAGAAAAATTTTCATTGGATGAATTATATAAAATAGATTCTCTTAAAGTTTCATATAATATAATAAACAATAATCTGAAATCCAATTTTTTTTTTTTAGGAAAAACAACAATTGTGCAATTATTATTGTTTCGATTTATTATGTTTTATATGTATGTTTTGTTGTATATATCCCTATTATAAACAATAATGTTTCTTGGGGTAATAAAGACAATCAAGTCACACGAGACAATCAAACTTATTTCATCTTGATTCTGCTACTTCTATAATTGGCCAAAAAAATTCACTCACGCTGCTCTAGCTGAATTTAATAAATTACCACATAATATAAGAAATTGCACATATTTAAAAATTTAAAATTGAATTAAAAAAACACATGATTTTATTATGAAATGGATAAAATTTATACTTTGCCATCTACTGATTAGTCCCTGTGGCTATTTTTATGACTTGATCGATTTAGCATTTTTAGATTTTTTTGATTTTTTTTGTTGTTGTTGTCACCTTATATTATTTTATTATTGTTGTTTGTGATCAACTTCCTCATACCAGAATTTTATTTCTGACTGGAAGCTAGTTTTTGAATAAACAATAATAAGATGGTGCAAGTTTCGAATATCCTTCGATATTGAGAAATACTGATGGTTGGCCTCAATTCATCTATTGGTGTGAAGTTGTGCTTTTGCCTGAATGGTTTCACTAACAATATATCGACAGCGCTCTGTTATTAATTCAGGTAGATAATTTGAATAATAGGCGTGCTTGAAAAGAAGGGAGTATATGAGGCGAATGAAAATCATTAATCATGAATGACCAAGACGGTTTTGATGTTGGTTTACTTTTTTCCTCATTCATAGGAGAGCCGGCTGCAAATTTCGACCGCCATCTAATAACAAAAAGTTGTATCTGGTAGAAGTCCATATGGCCAAAAGGTTTTGTTTTTTTGACAAAATAAATTAACGAGTTGAAAAAAGGGGTCCCCCGTGCCCTTATGAAAGCGCTACTAAAAGAAAATATCAATAAAATTGATGGGGCAAACAGTCAGCACGTGTACTAAACTATTTCAAGAAATATTTCGAAGAAAACTAAAGGAAATGAGCTAGTAGTTACCAAGGCTGATAAAGGCAATTGTCTTGTCATCCTTAATAATAGTATATTATTCAACGAGCGCATAATGATGGCTATTACCCACGAAGATGAAAGTTGCAGTACGAGCCAAAGGCGAGTGCTGTAATCATCTGAGTGGGTAATAGTCATTATGCGCAAGTAGAATACTATACTTTATCTACAACTATTCAAATATCAAAGCAACTCTGAGAGTTCAGAAATATATCTTTGAAAAAAATGAAGGTTATTATATTGCAAAATCACTAAATCTGATTTTAAATACTCATTAACTCAATCGAAAATTTATTGACAAAGATTCCATTCAACGAACAGCTTATAACTTATTTCAATAATTTTGATTGTGAAAATTTGATAAACAATGTTGGATATAACTTTTATTAGCAGGAAAAAAGTCGTGCAATCACATATCAGTCAATCTTACCAGGTATTATATTTATGATATTTCACTTTTCAGTTGTAAAATGAATCATATACTATTTCAGATTATTCATTTTGTGCTTCCGCTGTAGCGTTCCCCCACCACGATGATTGATTGTAGTACCCTGTCTCTAGAAGCTAGTTATCAACAATGAAATTCCATGGTTCTGATTGGTCTGTACTAATCTATTCCAATAGCCTGTAGCCATATTATTGTTAGTGTGTGCCTTAGATCATACAGGATCTAAGGTGTGAGCAAATCTGCAAGTGTCAAGTCCTATTTTATGGTTATGGTTACTCATGATGGTTACTCATGATGATAGTCACTGTTGAGGATGGAAAACAGTGAATTCTTATTTTTCCGTATATTTGTAGAATTAAGATGTTTAAAACTACGAGAACAATGGTACGGTGGATTTGCGAACTAATACCTACCTAGTTGAATTTGACAAGACGATGGGATGTCAAATTATTACGCCACCCTACTGTCATTATTACTCTTATTACTCGATTCATCACAATAATGACTGCCATTAAATGTCGAAAATCGAGTAAGCAATGTATGAATGACTCCATAGTTGTAGATAAAATAGATTACCTACTCAAGGTCACTCAGTTTCTAGAAACAGATGGTTTCATCAGTTCAACTTAGACCCTACTATGAAATTTTTCAACAATATGAAAACCATGTTCAATACTTGCATTTACACTATCACCTTCTACAATTCTTCAAAAATCAAATTGACCCCAATGAATCCAGCCACTCCCCTACTCTACGGCCTCTCCAAGATTCATAAAGAGGAAATACCAATTCGTCCTGTGGTGTCTTACTGTAATTCACCAACTTACAAACTTGCTTCTTGGTTGAATGGGTTGATCAAGAAATTTTGAAAATCCTCAATCATTAAAGAATTCCTTTGACCTTACTGATAAAATAAAAAATCTCAAAATTCCTCCAAATGCAGTTTTGTTGTCATTTGATGTTGTCAACCTTTTTCCATCTGTCCCCCCTGAAGATTGAATCTCCTTAGTACGCCAGTTATTGTTTGACCTAATATACCTACATTTCATTGCTTAAATATTTGTTCACTGCTGGGTACTGTACTCCAACAAAACTTTTTCCAGTTCAATAATTTTGTTTAACACTATTTATTTGTTTTTGTAATGTGTCTGTACAATAGGAGCACTGAGAACCTGAACATAACTTTCTAGATTTCTGTTTTCACAGTCTTCTGTACTTGCTGCATGTTTTGGGAAAACAGTGAACTATCTCTTAAATGCGAAAAAAATATTGGAAAACTTCAAAATTTATCAAAATTCACTGGATTGCACAATGCTAAATTTGTTTGTTTTGTTTATCACCTCCGCCATTTTCATTTTGCCGCTCGTGAAAAGACGACTGGGGAAACAGTGACGTGAGGCCAGAGAAATATGAGGCAACCTTATAGAGTTGAATAGCCTTGATTAGTATCATGCGTTCCGTCCATTGTAGGTACCCATCAAGGTGGCGCCGCTACCGCCGAAGCACGGCGAACGCAAGCGGCCGGAGATCTCGAACCCGACGCCCGTCGTCCGAGGAGCCGCCGCCTTTCCCGCGTTCAACGGCGCCAAGCGGGCGGCGCCGCCCCGGCCGCGGGAGCTGCCGCCTGCCCTGCCGCGGCCGCCCACCGCGGACGCGTCTCCCTCGCCCTCGCCTGATCCGGCCAGCATCGGCAGCATGTCGTCGCTGCACGAGATCATCAAGGTGAGTACGGAGTAGGGATGGGTGGTATTGGCTAAAGTTCCTTAATGTTCTTGACACTGCTGTTTTAACGTTTTTGTATATTTAGAGTACGGACACTATTACAAGCACTGACAGTCAGACGTAACTACAAATAAATTGAAGGGAAAAGCCAGTACACGAAAGTACATGACATAAATTTCAAAGGTTTGTCAAATTGAATCATTTGTGAAACACATCTTCAAATTCCCAATTCGGATTTCAGGGCAAAAAAAGCACGAATAATGCAATTTTCGCTTTCCTAGAACATGTATACACCAACCTGAACAATGGTGAAGCAGTGACTGCAGTATTCTGCGACTTTTCTAAAGCCTTCGATTGTGTGAATCAATACTATTAGAAAAACTATACTACTATGGTTTCAGAGGAGTATGTCATGAATGGTTTAAATCTTTTATAAGTGATAGGAAACAGTTCGTTAAATCAAATGGGAGTCTGTCTGACATCAGGGATATGACATGGGGAGTCCCACAGGGATCTGTCCTAGGTCCAATTCTCTTCCTTTTATATTAGAATGACTTGGCCACTGTTCCCATTCAGGGAAGATTCACCATGTTTGCTGATACTACCCTACTATGGTACGGGAAAAATTGTGACATAAGAAATAATATTGCTAAAGACTTGGGAACGGTTCAGCAGTGGTGCGAAGCTAATTATCAGTTTTAATCACAAAAAAACAAATATAATGGGCTTTAGTTTTGACTACAACAATGTAAGCTTGAACGGAAAAATTCTAGATAACAAAAAGTATACAAAATTCCTAGGAATAACTTTAGACGAGAAATTGAAATTTAATCAGCATGTTGTAGCTCTAACTAAAAAATTGGCATCCGGATGTTGTGCTCTCAGAATTGTTACTAATGAATTGAGTTCATCTACAGCAAAGATGGTCTATCACTCTCTGATTGAATCTCATATGAGATAAGGAATAGCTTTCTGGGGATATTGTAGCCAACAACTTTTTGACTCAGTGTTTGTACTGCAGAAACATGCTATGAGGTACTTGGCCATGGTAGGTATTCGAGAGTCATGCAGACCACTGTTTTCAAACTTAGGAATTCTCACTCTGACAAGTATATTCATATTGGAAACGGTATGTCTGATTCACAAAAAGTATATGGCTGAGACTACAGTACAAACAAATCATGTGGCCTGACAAATAACAGAGAGGAAAATTGCTCTACCCATTCCAAAATCTAAAATTTAGAAAACTGGTGAAAGATGCCCTTCTGAAAAAAGCCTACTATAATATTGAGGAATTTTACAATGAGACTCTGTTATGACCTCAACATGTACTACTTCAAATAGTATATATATTATTGATCTGCTATGACGATTGTTCACTTCAATTTTCAATGTGTACTGTTTATTGTCCTTTTACACTCTTAATAAGTTTATTATTCTTTCTATATTATTAATTTAGTTGTATATGCATATGCTGAACTTGTGCATAGTTGAGAAGTGCGGGACCTCTACAGCTCATAGTGGATTTTGATAAATGAAAAAACTTCACAAACGATAAGATTTACACAAAATTCTCATGACGTGCTGAACCGGTGGTTAGTGCAAGTGGTTGCTCCCAATTGATCGTTGATATAAAGTAGGAACAATGTTGGTGCCGAAATTGAACCTTGTGGAACGCCGGTATTGATGGCAATGGTATCATATGATACTCCGTCTACCACCACATGGAGAGATCTGCCTGGAAGGAAACTCGATAAAAGATGGCCTGGCTGAAGTGGTAAGCCGTATGATTGTAGTTTGTGGAGCAGTCCTTGGTGCCAAACACAGTCGAATGCCTTCGATATAACTAACTCTATAGCTAGAGATTCCCCATATTTTTCTAATTTAATGGAATTAAAACCCCATCGGATCCTTATAAAATATTATCGAAAGGAAACATGCCAGAAGCTACAGGAATTTCATACCAAGAAGCAATTGGTAGTGTGATGTGTGCCGCACAATGTACGAGACCGGATATTGCATTTTCGTTAGGAAAACTCGCAAGATTCAGCAATGATCTATCAAACATACATTGCACAGCTGTGAAACGGATACTCAGGTATATACGTAGAACTTCAAAAAATAATTAAATATTCAAGAGATCCGATGATGTGGCTACTGCGATTCAGACTGGGCTAGTGATCTTGATAACAGAAGATCAACGGCAGGCTACATCTTTATTTTATCAGAAGTAGCTGATATAAATTGGTTACCATATTTTGTAATAGAGGAGCATTAGAACTATCGAAAATTAGCGCATTTCATCTCCGAAGCAAACATAATATAGACATCAAACATCATTATCACAAAGAGAGAGAAACTCAAAGTTATTACCACAATAATTCATAAAATGAACGAAAATGGTAGATAATGAGAGAAAATATAAAATCGCAACTGTTTCCAAAATTAGTACAGGGTGGTTCCGAATTGAAATTTTCAACCACCCTGTAACGAATATGGGTTTGCACAATGAAGTTCAGTACAGAGAACACTACCAATGAGTATATATCTATATTCTTCCTAAATTTGACAATCTAACACCAGGTCCAATTGCGTTACGCAGATAGTATCGTACGAATCCGTATATCAATCACACCACTAGGCTGTTAAATATATCTTATGAAAGAGAATATGATTTTTGAAAACAATTACATGTAGCCGTAAATAACGTCTACTATGACAACAATCTGGAAATCTGGACAGGATGTTCATTTATTCTATCGATAGACCGTCTGTTCTATAGTATTCTGCTACATCTTTCCACCCTCCAAATTTTCAGCCGCATTTTGTTGTCGGTGAAATTTCTTGAAATGACTCGCATGGAAAATCCCCCTTTCATCACCAGTCTCTGGATCCGTTAAGACAAACGTATTGAAACTTATCTTTTTTTTTTACACAATACGGGCCTTCGAACAATAACAGGAATTTTTTTGTTTCAGCTTTTACAATCGATGACACATTAGAGGCCCTTAATAAAACCAAATCTCCGATTTCAATGTGATAACCGTTCCTAGGTGGATGTGATACCTTCCGACGCATAGCTTTCCCTTCCAAAGTTTCTTTTGCCAGTACAATTTTTTTTTTCATATGGTTCCGATCGTCTATTTCCCGGACTATGTAGAATTTTTGGTAACAATGTTGGCTGTTCTTCTCCAAATTGTAACTCTCTCGGACTAAACCCTGTAGACTCGTGCACTAAGGAATTCAAAAATTCTGAGAACTTTGGTAACCATCTAGCCCATTGCTTATGATGATCTGAACAATACGCTCTGCATAACCGACCTAATTCCCTCATTACCCTCTCAGCTGGATTAGATTGGGGATGTCTAACTGACGAATGCATGATCGTGATATTGAAACTTTTCAACACATTTACCCACTCTACTGATGTAAATTGAGTGCCATGGTCACTCAGTATCTTTTTTGGTATTGCAATCTCTTTGAAATAGTGATTAGTAAGTCTATTCAAACATGCCTTCGTCGTGGCCTTTTTCAGTGAATATAAAACTACGTACTTGGTGAACACATCAATGACTACTAAAATATATGTTACACCGCCTCTACTCCTAGGCAAAGGCCCATATAAATCGAGTGCAACAAGTTCACTTTTCCCTTCCACCAAAATTGGGTGCATTTCTGGAACTGGCATTGGAGCATGTTTGGTTTTCTGACAAACCTCACAACCTTTGATATAACGTTTGATATCTTTAGCCATATTATTCCACCATACTTCATTTTTCAATGCCTTCCATGTTTTGAAACATCCAAAATGACCAAATGATTCATGATACGCCCTAACAAATTCCACAATCAATGATTGAGGTATGCATAATAGATATCGTCCTTCCTCCTTCCCTTGTCTAATATACAGTATACCCTTATTAACAAAAAATCGTTGTTGTAATTTCAAATCATTTGGAAGACTCTCAATTATGTCCTTCAATTTTATATCTTTCCGCTGATCTATCCCAATAGTCCTACAGATATTCTGAAATTTTTTAGGCAATTTAATTAACGATAACATCTGGAATATTCTGTCCTGCGGTGTTGGCGGGCGAACAGCTGCATGACGAGACAATGCATCAGCGATAATATTCTTCGATCCCGGAATATACTCTATACTAAAATCATACTCTTGTATCGCCATCGCATATCGAGCTATCCTTGATGACAATAACCTACAAAATCTCAAATAAGTGATTGACGAATTGTCAGTGAAAATTTTGAATGGCCTCCCCAAAAGATAAATTCTAAATTTTTCCAAAGCCCATACCACCGATAGCAACTCCCTTTCATTGATACTATATCGCGACTCCCTTTCTAAAAGTGATCTACTGGCATATGCTATGACATGGTGCTCATCATTCACCACCTGGAATAACTGCGCACCCAATCCCACATCGGATGCATCTGTGGATAAACAAAAAGGCATATCTTCCCTAGGGTGATATAGTAACGTAACCATACTGATTTTTTCTTTCACTTGCTCAAACGCTGCTTGTTCCTTCTCTGTCCATCTCCACCGACTCTTTTTTCTAAATAAGCTGGTTAACGGTGCCGCCACATCTGCTAACTCCGGACAAAATGACCGGTCGTAGTTAACCGGGAGTCGGACAGTTCGACCACGGGCCAGGTACCTGTTTTAAGTACACCGATCAGTTGGACCACGACCGCTTTTTGAGCAGATTAAGGTTGTATTCTAAGAATTAAATTAATCAATATTTTCTTAACATATATTATTTATTATTGAGGTGAATTATAATAAGACATAATCCTTACAAAATCTTTTTTTTTTCTGTGTTGCACTTTTAGTTTTTTGGTGGAACATTTTACGGAATTTATTTTAATATTTGTTTCTGCTTGAAAGTTTATTAAAATATTTACAAAATTAAACAAACGTGGGTGAGAACTATGAAAATTAGAATGAAATGATTCACACGCGTTTGTGGTCCTGTACATAC